GATCTTATCCGATTGGAATATTCTTCACAGTGCCCATTGTAATTCTAGATTGTAATTCCCCTGAGAGCAGCAGTTTGGTAGGACCTCAGCCATAGACAGAGTTTAACCCGCATTTTTCTCCAGCCATATCTAGCTGCAAGTGGGGTGCAACCCACATCTCTGTCCAGCCATATTTTGGGACCCCCCAACTTGATGGTTACCAAGTCAAATTTTTGGGAGACAAAATTCTAGGTTGTCTTTAGTAAGATTTTGCCAATTTTGTAGGTATTTATAGCTATGGGACTACAGTTTTCAGACATAAAATAAGTAGGTGTGCCAGAAGGTGGCACATTCAACTTGAAATCATGCCCCATAGGGTTAACAGAAGCCGGTGTCTTAACAGAAATCCCCAAGTGTGTCTTATAGAACAGCAGATAGGGCAACAGCTTGTTAAAAACTCTTCTGCTTGTAACCTGCCTTTACTGATTAAGCTTGCTTGCTTGCTTGTTTTTCTTTCTTTCTTTAATTGCATACCCTCCAAGCTTCACATAGCTTAGATAATATATTACAAGACTTTTTAACCATTAGGTAACACCTCTGACCTATGGGTCACTATAATAATGGGGGCTTAAGTTGTTTTCTAAGAATTTGGAGTCAGCTCTTGTCCAGTTCAAGCTGGCTAAAGTTGGTTGGGACCACTGATGCTAAAACTGGGTCTGCACAGGTATCTGATGATGACCTTTTGATGTCAGAGGGCTGAAAAGTCCACCCTCAAATCAGGCTAAGCACGTCCATTTTTGAGTACGTATCCCATGAAGAAGCATGTAACGCAGATACACCTGCCCAGAATGCTTGTTACCTCACATTTTCCCTACCTCCAATCTCCTTTTCCCACACCTAAGACCACCTTGCTTCTTTATCCCATCAATATCTCAAGCCCCTTTGCCTTTAGGGAGGTGGATCTGAGACTTGTTCTCCTATCTCTTCTCTTGGCTGCCTTTTGAATAAACCCTTTTTCTGCTACAAACCTTGGCATCTCAGCATTTGGCTTGCTACAAGTTGGGCAAGTAAGCCAGGTTTGGTAACAAATTCTGGGTATAGATGATGCCATTTCTTTTAACTAGGCCTTTGGGTTTTGTGGAGCCAAACTATACCTAAGAGAGATATGCTTGTCGTTGGAAATTGTGGGGTGTTTCACAGTGTAACTTGTTGCACAGAAATTTCCTTGAGGCTGGTGGGAGACTTAGCATCAAAGCAACCTATTTCATAACCAACTTATCCTATCACGGAAGTCTTCTTGAGGTGGCAAGTACTGTAACAGCTTTTAAATGTTCAACCCATAGCCACCAATTTTTTAGGTTTTCTGGCTTCCACGATCCCCATTAGCAGTAGCTTTTACTGGACCTAGTCCAGTTTTTAAATTAACTCAGTATGATCCCAGCTGGTAACCAACAACAATTCTCATGGATCTTTGGACTGGGGAAAAGGATTAAACTAGCAAAGGAGCCCCATACTGAGAGCCCCCAACCCCCCACAAGGGCTGTGAGCCTGCAAGTCGAGGCCACCACTGCCCAAAGCCCACGCAGGCTGAGGTCAAGCGCAGAAACCCTTGGATTCCAAAACTCACATAATTTCCAAAATCCTTCTGTTACCTCAAAATTCTTAACGAAATGTACCATGACTCCATTTTGGGACTGTTGTTTCTTTTTAACGGGGCTATCACATAACTGCTTGAGCCAGAGTTTAATGGGCACCAGGAGCATGCCCTGGAAGCCAGCATATGGATAGCAGGTATAATTAGAGAGGGCTCCTAAGAGGAAGATGACTTCGGAGGTGTGGGTTGACCAAAAATTGAAGGCCAAATTGTTTAGGGGCCCCTTCCCAACAGATGATCTCCTGCAAGAGACAATCTTGAATATTATTATTTCAATTTTATTTTATTTTTATTACAAAAGGTAGCTTATCCTTTAAGAAGTATACTCAAGCCCCCCCCCAAATTCTTTTGAAAATATTTAATGTGAGAAAATTAAATCAAGTAGAACTTAAATAATGACATTTTTATAAGATCTAGCACCAATTAAAAATATGAGTTATTAAGAGAAGAATGGAATTGTTGAATAGCCAAAGTCCATCCACCCTGACATTCTGATAGGCTCAATCATTTATCCATTCTTGCACTGAACAGTTACTGAGTGACTATTAAGCGCTAGGTATTATAGACAGTGAGTGAGTGGAACACTGTTGTTACCTATTACGTTTTCAATAATTTCAGAATGTGTTTGGATAAGCAAGGCCTAAGCATCTGGGGCACAAATACTTTAAGGCATATGAATGAGGCTACTGGCTTAGGGCCTTATCTACTCTGCATGCTTGGAAACCTCACTTGAGAGGTCAGAATGTGGCTAATACCATCCCCATTCTTCTACTACACCATTTTGTCTGAAGATTAGTCACCTTAATCACTACTATGAAGTCCCACAATTTAAATACCAGGCAATTACAGCATATGGTGTTTTGACACTGACGAACCTTGTAAATACCCGAAATATACAGAAGATTTATCTTCATGGCAGGCCTGCATCTAATATTTATGGGACCAGAGGTAAGAGTACAAAATGGAAGTCAGTGTACCCTGTGCAACTATTTGAATACTGTGCAAAACTTTCAGTGTTGGAACCACAAATTGGAACACTAAAACAAGGAAAATCTCTGCTAGACACTATTTTCTTATGCAAAAAAATATATTTTGTTATGCAAGAATTTACTGCACTCAAGCTGAGAGGAAGACTTCATAAGTTAACTAATTTGTCTTCTCTCTTATCTAAGCACTTCTGCTGCTCAGATTCTGCCTGAACTCCAAAGCAGTCTATTTCTGACACGGACAGCTATAGCAGCCACAAATTTTCACTGCATTTGGGATTCCACCTTTTGTTTTGAAGATATAGGCAAGAGGTAAATGTTTCCTAGGAGCCTGAATAGTGTTGGTCATGGGAGAGGGTATTGATAGTTATGCGTCAAGTGTTCAGCATCTGTAGCAGAGGCACTCATGAGTTTTTTAAAATAAATTAATGTGTGTATTTGTGATCTGTAAGGTCCTTTAAAGCATGGGGTGCAGGATAGGGGCCTCTCCTGCCCAGGTCTAAGTGCAGTAGTGCTTAGTGATGCTGGGAATTTAATGCCAAGCTCATCGGCCGGGTGATCTATATGGCTGTATTTTTCGTAGAATTTCTTCAGCATCAAGAAAGATAGTGCTGGGGCTTCCCTGGTGGCACAGAGGTTAAGAATCCGCCTGCCAATGCAGGGGACATGGGTTCGAGCTCTGGTCGGGGAAGATCTCACATGCCGCGGAGCAACTAAGCCCGTGCGCCACAACTACTGAGCCTGTGCTCTAGAGCCCGTGCGCCACAACTACTGAAGCCGGCGCACCTAGAGCCCGTGCTCCACAACAAGAGAAGCCACCACGAGAAGTCTGCGCACCACAAGGAAGAGTAGCCCCCGCTCACCACAACTAGAGAAAGCCCACACGCAGCAACGAAGACCCAATGCAGCCAAAAAAAAAAAAAAAAAAAAAAAAAAAAAAGACAATGCTATACTAATAGCTTAGACAATTGTAGCAAATTTCTAAGTTTGACTTTCCCCAAAACTAGTGTAAATGATAGCGTTATGAAGACTTTTTAAAGAAAGGAAAAAGCAGACATATACCAGAAAGAGGGTAATACTGTGAACCACGTTTCCATTGCCTAGCTCCTAGAATGACCGATTCATGGTCAATCTTGTTTCATTTTTACCCCTACCCCTTCCTCCTCCCTCAATGACTCTTTTTTTTTTGCGGTACGCGGGCCTCTCACTGCTGTGGCCTCTCCCGTTGCGGAGCACAGGCTCCGGACGCCCAGGCTCAGCGGCCATGGCTCACGGGCCCAGCCGCTCTGCGGCATGTGGGATCTTCCCGGACCGGGGCACAAACCCGTGTTCCCTGCGTTGGCAGGCGGACTCTCAACCACTGCGCCACCAGGGAAGCCCCACTGTCTGGTTTTTACTTTTGAGGATGGAAATAATCTGCCATGAAGAAACAGTGGTATAGTGTTCACCGTGTTTGAAGTCACAAGACCCGAGGAGGTGTGATGTGCGTGGGCAGTTAAAGCTACACCAAATCTATTTGTCGGGCTTGGCTTCAAGAACTGCATATTTTGAAACTAAATGATCTGGTTTAATTTTTGCCCTTTAACCTCTGGAAAGTAAGGCGTGGGAAGGGGATTTAGTGTCTCTGTTATGCCGAGGCGTGTTTGAACTTGTTTCTTTTTCCAAAATGTACAAGTTGCTAGGAGAACCATGGATTTATATGAACAAGTCCTGCAAGAGACTTAACAACAACAAAAAAAGGCAAAACTGGCTGAGTTAGGGAAATTCGTTGGTTTCGGGTCACGTTCCTGCTGTCGGCAGTCCCGGCTGGTTTGCTCCGGGCGTGCTAGAGGTCAGCGGTCTCCGCCGAGGACTTGGTGCCTGGGTCTCGCGCAGCTCCCAGGGCTCTCAGGCGACAGGGCGTTTCCTCCTTTTCCGGCCTCGTAAAGTTTTGTTTTGGTTCGTAATGCCCTATCAAGGAAAGGCACCCTGTTGACCATTTCTCAGCGTCTCCTCGTGTTGGCTAGAGGCCAAGTTTCCCCCATTCCAGCTTGCACAGATTTTGGGAACCTTCGAGATACTCGAAAGCTCAGGAAGCGAGTCTTGCGAGGAGGAAGAGAAAGGGCAGCCTGGCTGTGGGTTCCACTGTTCCTGGCCGGCCCCTCTCTTCGCTCCGTCCCTGAGCCAGTACCCATCGCACCGCGAAGGGTGCGAACAGTCTCCCGGGTGACTGCTCCGGTGCGGCGTTCTCCACCGTTCCCAAGAAAATACTCTTTCTCAGACGAGCCCGCGCTGGAGGAGGAAAGACCGGACTAAGACCCGGCAATGGGGCCCGAGGCGCATGCGCAACCCAGCCTAGGCGTTTGAGTGTTCGCTCCGCAGCGGCGGCCGCTAGGTGGCGCATGCGTCCTGGAGGGTGCGGGCCGGCCTCCGGGAAGAAGGCGGCGGCGGCGGCGGCTGCGGCGGCGGCGGCGGCAGCCGCGGCGGCGAAAGGCGGGGGCGCGGGGGGGGCCGGGCCAG